TGTGTGTGTGTGTGTGTGTGTGTGTGTGTGTGTGTGTGTGTGTGTGTGTGTGTGTGTGTGTGTGTGTGTGTGTGTGTGTGTGTGTGTGTGTGTGTGTGTGTGTGTGTGTGTTGATACAAGGAGCGCTGCACTAGTGGAAAACTGGGAGGCAGCTCAGGTCCAGACTGCTGACTTCCTGACAGGAGAGAATGCAGTGTGACCCATATATATATTTGAACCCAGCTCCAAGCACAACGGGAAATGCGCACAAAGGGGCAGTGTGGGAGCGGACAACAACGAAAAGTGCCGACACTGTGGTTTTATTAAAGCCTCACTTACCTCACAGATTATTATATTAACGTTACACCTTTTTGGATTACCAGAAATGCCGGGAAATGTAAATGTTCCATGGTGCTACACAAAGACAAAGTGTGTGTGGTTATAAAGTGGCAGCAGTTTATACAAAAGCAAGTGTTGAGGTTCCACTGAATGTCACTTTATCTACTATTTATGCAGCCATACATGTACAGTGCCTTGCGAAAGTATTTGGCCCCCTTGATCCTTTCAACATTTCGCCACGTTTCAGGCTTCAAACATAGATTTAAAAAAAACTTTTTTTCAAGAATCAACAACAAGTGGGACACAATCGTGAAGTGGAACGAAATTTATTGGATAATTTAAACTTTTTTAACAAATAAAAAACTGACAAGTGGGGCGTGCAATATTATTCGGCCCCCTTACGCTAATACTTTGTAGCGCCACCTTTTGCTGCAATTACAGCTGCAAGTCGCTTGGGGTATGTCTCTATCAGTTTTGCACATCGAGAGACTGGAATTCTTGCCATTCTTCCTTGCAAAACAGCTCGAGCTCAGTGAGGTTGGATGGAGAGCGTTTGTGAGCAGTCTTCAGCTCTTTCCACAGATTCTCGATTGGATTCAGGTCTGGACTTTGACTTGGCCATTCTAACACCTGGATACGTCTATTTGTGAACCATTCCATTGTAGATTTGGCTTTATGTTTTGGATCATTGTCCTGTTGGAAGATAAATCTCCGTCCCAGTCTCAGGTCTTTTGCAGACTCCAACAGGTTTTCTTCCAGAATGGTCCTGTATTTGGCTCCATCCATCTTCCCATCAATTCTAGCCATCTTCCCTGTCCCTGCTGAAGAAAAGCAGGCCCAAAGCATGATGCTGCCACCACCCTGTTTGACAGTGGGGATGGTGTGTTCAGGGTGATGAGCTGTGTTGCTTTTACGCCAAACATATAGTTTTGCATTGTGGCCAAAAGGTTTGATTTTGGTTTCATCTGACCAGAGCACCTTCTTCCACATGTTTGGTGTGTCTCCCAGGTGGCTTGTGGCAAACTTTAAACGAGACTTTTTATGGATATCTTGAAGAAATGGCTTTCTTCTTGCCACTCTTCCATAAAGGCCAGATTTGTGCAGTGCACGACTGATTGTTGTCCTATGGACAGACTCTCCCACCTCAGCTGTAGTTATCTGCAGTTCATCCAGAGTGATCATGGGCCTCTTGCCTGCATCTCTGATCAGTCTTCTCCTTGTTTGAGATGAAAGTTTGGAAGATTTGCAGTGGTATGATACTCCTTCCATTTCAATTTAATTGCTTGCACAGGAGATTTAGGTTTAGGGTCTGCATGAATCTTAAATGCTGCCTCCCAATGTTATGTCCTGACTCCGAGTCCCAGCAGGAGGCCAATCCCTGTGCTCCTCAGAGTTAGGAAACAAACCAGGATACCAGTGTTAGAGAATAAAGTGATTTTCTTTGTGGATCAATTTCTGAAGGAGAACAGTTTGATTGAAAACTGTAGATAGTACTAATCATTCTTTCAATCATCATCAAAGTCCTTTTAAAATAAACATGTTCTGGGAGAATTTTAAAAGAAAACTTTCCATTTCTGTCATGTATCGAGATCAATAATTACAAAGAAAAACATTGCCCGGAGGATACAGATGGTGGGACAACATATTTTCTGACTTCAGAGATTTTTCCAGAGTTGCCAGGATCCACTGTCGGGGCTTTTCCTGCACGTCATCCATCAAAGTTTGGAGCGACAGACGATTACAGCAGACTGACAGCGGAGGGGCTTTCATGTCATAAACAGGACACATCATGGCCTCCATTTGCAGTTTGGTAGATGTGGATTAGACCAATAATTATTCTTTCAATCAATCCAGAGGTTGGGAGCCTTTTTAGACCCAAACGTCTCCTACATCTCCTAAGTCTGTATATTCTGTGGGAGCCACTCACAACACATTTAAAGTGAGATATTAGTCTCAGAATGTTTGTTTAAATGTTTTAAATTGAAGAAATCCAACACATAAAAACATTCTGACTGTTAATGCCTACTGTGATTTGTCAGAGAGCCAGAAACGATCATCAAAAGAGCAACATGTTCCTGACCCCTGAATAAATCAATTAGTCAATTAGTGACGAAAAGCAAGCAAATTCCATATTTATATCATGCGAGTTATTTTATATAATTCTGCAGTACGGCTCACGGGGTTACGTTCTAAAAATAACCTGTGATTAAGGAAATTCGTAGAGTAGCAGCTCTACATTTTAAGCCTATAAAAACCCCTCACATAGCAGGAATATCAAACCAGCGTGATGTAGGACTGAGCGCTGCTGCAGCTGTCAAAAGTCGTGCACACACTGTAAAACACAGCGGTTGAGGATACTACACTACCATGTTATACTCAAAGTTAAATGATGTTGTATATAGTGTAGTTGGAGTCTAACAGGAGTGAATATTATCTGTATTCCAAAAGAAATGTATAAAGCCCATTACCAAGCGCTTCACAAATAACGCTCACTCACTTACATCCTTTATAACTTAACGCTGCTTGTACGGCTGTGTTGAGGACCCATCGCAAGGTCACGCTCTCTGCCTGACAATAAAATAGTTGCATAAAAGGGGAAAGAAAACATGATTGTTTTCATCGTAAAGAGGATGTGGTAACGACCATTTACAAGTTAAATGTTGTGTATCATTATGCGGCAATGAACAAACACCATTCAAATATCGACACCAGCGCATCCGTGAAAAAGTAGAAGTTAGAACTGCGGATTTGCATACAAGAGGAAGCGGCAAACATCAATCTGAAACTGTGCTTTGAGGGTAATTTGCAGCACGATTTAGAAAAAGTTGAGCGAATGTGCTGGCCCTGTTGGATGCAGAGGTCTGAGGATAATTGCAGCTCTTAGTGGAGGCTGGATCATTGCCTTCCCTTTAGATGACCACACAGCATTTCCAACTAAACTGAATCTAAGAGGCTCTCCGGGCACGGCGAGGCCAAATGATAAGTTATGGCACCGAAATCATACTTATTTCAATGACGGCACAAACAGGTCTGAAAATGAGAGGAATTCTGCGCTCGGCGGCGTTTAGAGAAACCTTGCTCCCGAGGCCGAGTCTGAGGAGAGCTTAAAAGAGTTTTGCTACAACAAAGAAGAGAAGGGGAGATTCTGGGGTCAGAGGGTAAAGCCGCTGAATGCGCCTGTGACACAAAACATGAGCAGCTTCCAGGAAGAAAGAGGTTACAGTATAGTTCCACGTCAAAAGAAGTAGATTTAAGTAATAGAAGTATTTCAAAGCTGACAGGGTTATACATATAATGCTAATCTTATGGTATTCTCCAGGGGACTGCCATAACATCTAAACTAGGTTGCTATCCTTTGGTACTGCACTCTTAGAAAAGAATTTAAGGTAATTATGGAGGTTTGTCTGTATTTAATGTTGTGTTTAAGATGGAGCAATTTTACAAATGTCTTGACTGACTTGTATATGCAGTGTTGAAACAAGTTACTAGATTAAATTAAGTGGTTATTGAAATAGCAATAGCTGATCTTTACCAACAGATCAGAGAATCAAACTTTTCAAACACTGGACATACAATAATAAACACATAGGAGCCATTGGTCCACAGGGAGCAGGAACTTGAATTTTAACTCGTAACAACTAAAATCCCAATCTACAGATTCATTTTGCATTTATAAGCATCAATGATATGGTTCGTGTTTAAATTATAAAACTAGGTCAAGCAGCCCCTAAGAAAGTGTTTGTATGTCTGAATGTCAGTCTGCAAGTCTCATTTATGTAGGTTTGTATGTATGGGAAATGTATACCTTTTTTTGCTATTACAAAAATAGAAAGATACTACACACAAGTCTAAGTTAAGTTGTTCTTAAAGCTCACCCAATGCACAAACAATGCCTATGCCCATCCATGACAAAATCACTCATTTCTCGTGTCGTTTTTGTATGTCTGAATGTCTGCCATTGTGTATCATTGATGTAGGTTTGTGTAAATGGGAAATGTACGTTTTTGCTAATAAAACCAATAAAATACACACACACAAGTTATATTTAAAGTTCAACCAATGCACAAACAATGCCTATGCCCATCCATGACAAAATCACTCATTTCTCGTGTCGTCTCGATAGATACAAAATGTATATGCTTTGTATAAATAGGAAATGTTGTACGTTTTTGCTAATAAAACAATAAAATAAGTTACCACACAAACATACAAGCCTGCTAAAAAGTTATATTTAGAGTTCAACCAATGCAAAAACAATGCCTATGCCCATCCATGACAAAATCACTCATTTCTCGTGTCGTCTCGATAGATACAAAATTTATATGCTTTGTATAAATAGGAAATGTTGTACGTTTTTGCTAATAAAACAATAAAATAAGTTACCACACAAACATACAAGCCTGCTAAAAAGTTATATTTAGAGTTCACCCAATGCACAAACAATGCCTATGCACATCCATGACAAAAATCAGTCATTTCTCGTCCAGTCTTGTGTAGTTTGATGACTTTAAAAGCATTTAGACGAGTCGGAGGGTCAGAGCCTAGCGCCATAATTCGGTCACACTTTCGCTGCAGCCGAGCGTGCTAGCGTTAGCCACCGAGAGCTAGCTAGTAAGTGTGGTTGTGTTTTCGTCCGGATAACAAATACCTAGAATGCGTTTAAACATGCAGTTCGTACTCACCCGGATCTGACGGGGTTTTCATGTTTGCAGCTTTCTTCTCTGGATCTCTCTCTTCGAGCACTTCTCCTCACCTCTCTCAGTCGGAGTGGGAACTTTTACGCAGTAGCTTTAGCCGCGACACCGACGCTTTTTGAAAAGACGTGAATTTCTTTGCTGCTAGCTCGCTAATTCAGCGTAAGAAGCCCTCTGAACTGCGAGAAAGACATCCACACGCGTTGGGGGAAGTTTTGCAAAGAGACGCAGGCTTGTTGGGGAGAGGGGCGTGTGGGGAGAAAAAGTTGCCCAGGGGGAAGAGCGGTGGTTCGGGTTTGAATGGCGATCGGACGAGGGTCGAAGTTTTTTGGGTCTGTTTTGCAGTGCTGGAATCCGGGGTTCACAAGTCCATTGACTTAAGCAGCAATGTCGCATGGTCGCTCCATCCACCGCGACATCTCTGGCAAAAAAACACAGCTCCGCGCAACAACAACAAAAAGCCCAAAAGTGCACAAACTAGATCAGCTTCCACGACTTTTTCTTTTTCCACTCTCTCTCTCTTTCTCTCTTTCGTGTGCTCTGTCTCGACCCCCCTTCCTTTCCTTCCTCGCCTTCCCCAGTGCGCTTGGCCCGGGTCTAGTCCTTCTCTCTCTTGCCACACGGGGCCGCCCACGCTGGCCCACTGAGGGAGGGAGGACGCCACGAACCAAACGCCCACTTGTTGCCAGAGATCGTCTATGTTTTATTAGAAGATTAAAGCTCTGGTACCTAATTTTCAAACCGCATAAACTGGAGAAATGCAATCTAAAAGCAGTTCCGGTTTTGTTCTATCACCACGTGCCTGTATGTGTAGAGTGCGTGATGATGAATGTATACATTTCATTACTGCTATTTGTACTGTTAAATAAAAATAGTTCATCTGCCTCCATCAGTAAACTTTCCTGTGTGCCTTTTGATTAAAGATATCTAGAAGGATTTTCGGGTGGATCATTTAGATTATTGGGCCTCTTAATTGTCAATCATTCTGGTGATACATGCTCGTCAAATAAGATCAGAGAGTTTTGTTCAAAAAGTGGTCAAAAATAATGGTTTTTTCTTAAAATTTGGTAACATTCAATAGCCTTGAAGATCTACTTGGAAGAAGAAAATACTCATATATACCTTTAAGTTTACTTTATTGTACGTTTACCCCACTCCTGCTACATATGTTTCTTTAGCTCAGCTTTTTCGGACAGAGAAGTGAAAATGAGAGGAGCACCCCACTCTCTGCCATAAGCGTCAAATAGTGACTCACATGGTTCTCTCTTACTAATATACAAACTATAACATGTTTTTAGATAAGATGAAAACACTCCACATATGACTTTTTTATTTGTTACATCTTATGAGTAAATTTTTTTAAAAACAAATCCTACTTTTGCATGTAAGAAACCCTGTGAGTCACATTTTGTCGCTTTGGGCTGAGAGCTGATTGGCTAAGTGAGGGGGGGGGGGGGGGTCCTCTTTGTCTTTGTTGTATTTTAAAAAGTGATCTAAAGATGTAACTGGAGCCAAAAATACTTGAAAACTATGATAGAACCAAACAGTTTTGGAGAGTGAGGAACTCGGGGCGACAGTAGCTCAGTTGGTAGAGCATTGGCCTTTGGGCCTGAAGGTCGTGGGTTCGATCCCACCATAAGACCTACTTCACGACTCCCACTGATGACTGCTGTCGTTGTGTCCTTGGGCAAGACACTTAACCCCACTTTGCCTGAAGCTCCCACTGAAAGATCTCAGCTCCTGTGGACTCACCACCTGCAGGAGGATCAGTGAGGGGCTGGTGCTCTGTGGACTGGGTGCAGCTCTGACTGCCAACCCCCCCGACCCAGAAATGGATTAAGGGGAAGAAAATGGATGGATGAACTCATTTAGAACTTATTAGGATTTTGTGAGTTACTTTTTGTGGTCTGAAAGTTCAGTATCCCAGCTTTAACTTTATTGTGTTTTGTTGTTCATCCAATCTTAAACTTGTCTACAAGCAGAGCCCACGTTGCCATAGTTACATCTGACTGTTGTTCGCTGAGATCTTTGTTTCGATAATAACAATAACAATCGATCCATGATACATACATACATGCAAACATTAAGATGAAGAGTTTGTCCCACAGCGGGGAAATTTCAGTGTTGCATCACCAGTTACAGACCAGAAGAAAGACTAACTCTATACTGAATAAAATAAAATAAATCAAAATCTCTTTAAAACTTTAGCATTAAAAAGAAGCAAGTATATAAGCTTTAGCGTCTGCATAATTAAGAAGCTATAAAGTGTGAGGACATGAGACATTAGGCTTTCATATTCAAAACATTTAAAAGCATCAGGTGAATGGAACGGAAGTTGGGAAAACATAATAAAGAACCTTACATAACCTTTTGTGGTAGATCTAAACGATTTGGCGGTATTTTGGAGAAAGCACAGATGGCAGTGAAGCTATAGAAGCTGTGAATGCACTGAATATAATCGGCTTAATGAAGACATCTGTAGATAATCTCATCGAGGCATATGGAAGAGGTTAAGTGCTTCTGTGTTTTCTGCGCAGTTATCACAATATTAAAAAACGGCGTGTATTTGAAGTTTATCGTTTTAGCTAAGTTCACCCTGTGTCTATCTCAAAGTCTGTCTGTGTAGGTTTCCTCCAGGTGCTTCGGTCTACTCAGGGTGCTCCGGTTTTCATACATGTGCTCCGGTTTCTTCTATACAACTTATATTATGTACAATGGAACTGGGGAGACTAGCCATGACACGCAAGGTAAAAAAAACAAAAAAAACATTAAAACATACAAAAAAGGTCTAAATGTCCTATTATTAATGACTGTAGCTATGAAGACAGAGTGTGTACAGAATATAGAGCTGCTTAATGGCCGGAGATATCTAAAACAAGTCTATCTGACGGTAAAACTGCCTTCTTAGAGAATCAAGTTGAGAGTTTGAAAATTGCCACGAGGTTTAAACAAAATGTTGGTGAATAATATGCTGCAAACTATAAATTCTCTATAATAACTATAACATCTTTTGGCTCTTTTCACAAATGGGAGACTTAACTTTTAAAAACTTAACTTTTAGTTGTGCATGCAGATGTGTTTAGGCTATGATATTATGCTAATGTGTGTGAAAGTAGTGCTTGGAATCCGTGAGAGTCTTGTAAAAATGAAATGCTGTGAGCAAACCAGATCAATATATGTAAAAAACTTCGGGGGAAGAGCTGATTGGCTGAGTGAGTGAAAAGAGGCCAAAAATACATACATGTGAAAACAAGCGACTTATACAGCTATGGATTCTATGACATAGTTCAATTGTTTGTAGTTTGAAAATTATGAACCCCGGCTTTAAGATGAAGACATCCTTTATTCGTCCCACAGTGGGGAAATGTCAGTGTTGCATCACCGGTTACAGAACAGTAGGAATGAAGAGCACACAGCACAAGATAGATGAACAATAACTCTATACTCAAATAGAATAAAATCTCTAACTTTGGCATAATAAAGAAGCAATATAAAATCTATAACTTCAGCATTGACAAGTGGACACATATGCTTCTATATTGCACGTTCTGACAATAATACAATTATTATTGCACGGATAAGTACATTGACACTTGTGATTTAAATGACAGAGTGTTTTTAAATGTTTGTATATATAATTTATTTTTTTAAAACACATTATTTTCTGGTTTTCTGACGACATTTCCGCAAAGGCTGCTTGTTATCACCTCCTGCTTTCGGCTCTTTTCGCTCTGGTCCCCGTCTGTTCCCCCGGGGCCGAAATGCCAGAGTGACATAACATTGCAGCGCATTGTCTCCATAGACGATCTCCACAGAGAGAGTCGTGAGCCGCGCGCGCTGTCGCCTCGCGCTCTGTCCTCGCGCTCTGTCCTCGCGCGCCGCGTCACCTTGTTTCCATGGAGAGAGAGAGGAGGTGCTGATGCTGTTTACGGGAATGACAGGGGCCCATGGGTGCTGAGGGTGCTGCTGAGGGCCAAGCCAGAGAGAGTGCAACAGGTGGAGAGTGTAGACCACATGAAAAAGACACAAGGGAAGTGTATAGAGCCTAAAAGCCTAAAGTAAGTATGTATAGTATTTATTTATCCATTTACCTTGTTGACTGTCAAGTCTCTCCATGGCCTCTGTGTTATGTTAGTGCATATATATGAACCAACTTGGATTCTGGGGAGCACAGGTACTGGCCTCCTGCAGGGACTCTGAGGAGCATAGGGACTGGACTCCTGCAGGGACTCTGAGGAGCACAGGGACTAGCCTCCTGCTGGTCCCAGAGTCAGGCCTAAACATGTCGAGGCAGCGGTTCCGATTAATGCTACTAAAATCTGGAAGTCTTCCTGAAAATGTGAGATAGACTTCAACCTCTGACAATGTTCAAACTCTATCTGTGTCAAATGTGACATGTACATTTCTCCAGTGAGATCAATAAAATCTATCTTAAATTATCTTATTGCCATTGTTCATAGCAGTTTTCATATCTCTGTTTGTGCATCTTTAAATGAGGCACCATGTAGTGTTAAAAAGTCCTGTAAACATTGCATTTTTCTGAAATACTCCAAAAAACTCAGGTTAATCTTGCTCTGCTGTTTCCAACACTGCCTTGGCTTTCATTTTGACACCGCTCGGAACTCAGAGACTATAAAGGAAGATGTCTTTGATGTCGTTTTGAAGAAGTAAACAGGGAGTGGTACTTTTATCCTCAGAACAAAAGCCTGATAACAAACTCATTATTTGAACAGGGAGCCAGTGGCAGCAGGCTCCAGGTGGAAACAATGGTGCTGGAATCTCCAAACTATGGCCCCAGGGTAGACTGTGGTCCACTGAGCTGTGTGTCTCGGCCCTCAGGCTCCCCTTCCATGTTGACACAAACACTGATAATTGTAAATGTCACCTTTATTATTAATCTACCATTTATAGAGCATTTTGTGTGTTAAATTATCTGTCTAGTTTCAACAGAGGTTATGGCTTGCGAAGATAAACAGGCAAGAAACTCCCTCAAAACACGCAAGAATATGC